TCTAATCTATCGGTTTGATGTGAGTAGTTTCATTTCTATAGGTATAAGAATAATGTTTTATTTAGTACAGGAAACTGGAAAAGATGAAATTCATGAAATTTTACAACAGAGCTTCCTCTCTATTTTAAACAACTGAAAAGTTGTTAAACTGTTAAACAAATACACAGATTAGTAACTTATTGACAATAGATTAATGCTAATTTGACGTCGCCTCGTTAACTAGTTTACTAGTTACTAGCTGATCCTAAGCCCAGATAAAGAGGGAAGGTTGGGCATACGGCTAAGAATCCTACCCTTAAAACCAGTCCAACCGCTAAAGAAACTTCAAAGCACAAAGAAAATATACAAAATAAAAAGAAACTTATTCTTCACTGGAATTAGGGAGATGAAATGACGCGTGTTGGTGAAAGTTTTCAGGAAGCCAATTGGCATACACTGAGAACAAGATCCGGATTTTCAACACTAAACAAGTCAAGCCAGTGCTTCTATGTGGTGGTTGACAGACTTGGTACCTTACGCATAGCATTTCCAACAAACTACAGATATTGATCAACAACTGCCACCTACGCCCACTCGATACTGAAGATCAGATGGCCACAATAATAAGAATAAACAACAAGGAACTCTGTCTAGCTAGCAACGAACCAACCAGGAACCGATCGCCCGACAAATATTCAGAGGAAGGAAGTGGAGATGGATTGGAATGGGCATACACTGAGAAAGCCATTTGGAGACATCACGTGTCAGGCCAGACCAGGCTGTCGAATGGAAGCCAAATGGGAAACGATGAGTTGGGAGTCTGAGGTGAGGGTGACATGGAGGAGATGGTGTGAGGAAGAAATGATAGGTTGTGGGCAGTTGTGGCTGCAGGTTCAAAAGACTGTGGAGAAGAGAGTGGAATGGAGACGTGCTATTGAATCCCTATGATCCACTGGGAACCCAAAGGATAAATAATAATGATAATAATAATGCTTATTTAATCACCTTATGAATGCTCAGAGCCCTGATTTCCTACATCTGCGAGTGAACAACCATTAACTGCTTCAAACTTAAGAAACAAACGTAAACTTCGAAATATTCATCGTAGATTAATGTTGATTAGAGAACAGTTGGAAGCTAGTGAATACAGGACAGTTGATTCACTGCCTATATTCACCATGTTGTCATATTAGCCTAATATGGAACTCTAGATTAAAAATCTTACAATAAATGAAGGGATTAATTAGAATGATGATCAAAATTACTCATTTCATACAATATTTAAACGAAATAATAACCACTAATGTTAGCCATATCACATTAAGCTTACACGACAACATGTCGGATACAGGCAATGATGAACCACTAATTTGATAGGTTTTTGAGTAATTACTCAAGCATAACTTAGTCTTGAATTCAATTCACTGTAATCACTGGTTACAAACTAAATAGTTAGGTTAAGTAGAAGACGAAATCGTAGAAAACATATTCGAAATTTTTTCAAAAATCATCAGCATTTGGTGTCTTAGAGAAACTTTAATAAATTTTCTTTTAAAAAGGAGTCCAGCTTACTAATTTTTATTGTAAAATTTCACTTGAAAAACAAGTTGGAAACTTTAAAAGAAAATCTATTTAAACTCTAGTAAAATAGATAAAAATCTATCAGGTTGCAGTTCTAACTATTGTGTGGTTAAATATGATCAGACGTTAGTTCTCTGAGCTGAATCGTTTCGTTGGGAAGCTTCCAATGATAAGCTAAATAGCACCGTATTGGCGAATAATTCTCAAAAAACCAACCACGTAGAATTGGATGACATTCAACATTAATGCTAACTTTCATAGTATCAACTGACTTGCTAAGCTGAAAGCACATGGTCAAGCACCCAACCCATTCGACCCGTCATCGTGTTACATCGCAACAGTCCTGTACATCATCCTCTAGCCAGCTAGTAGGAATGCGTCGATAACTTGTCAAAGTCGATCAAATATACTATTCCACGTGATTACTCTGTTGTGTTCTTCCTTGGTCTCTCACTTGTGGGCATATAACAAGTATGGATAAGTGGAGATTAGTCGTTGTGCCATTCAAGTTTGTGTAAGATCTATTTCCTAAATAAATTCACGATGATCTTTCAAATGCAAATGGACTTGCACCTTTGACATAAAATTCTGTGCTGGGGTACTAATAAAATAGTGAATAGCTTGACTAGATAATCGGCTGTCCATTTTTAGTATTTTTGATACCCGAGTCCTGGAGTTACTTTACTTTCTTCACCTAAATTATTGATGCACTTAGTTACGCTTATGTGTATAATGGTATTTATTTGACGTCAATGTCATAACTACTTAGCATACCTAGAGCTTCGAAGAAGTCAGGAGTTTGATGACATTTTTAGTAACTAAATTCAAACCTATGTAAATTGTTGCGCCTGGCTCTAAAGACTCTTTAGTAGCGACCGCTGAAATTACCACTGAAGTCCCAGTATTTTGGCTAGGAAGGAAATTTTTCATAGAGTTGAGAAACATAAATAGTTATCTCAGCAGCTGCATAAGTTACCTTTAAAGGTTACCCAAGATCACTTTTGACAAGTGACTTTAACCACCATTCTGGCATCCACTAAAATAACCAACTAAGTCTTGTTATTTTGACTGAAAAGGCAGTTTTTTCACGAAATACAGAACTCTAAGTGTCTATTTTAATAGTCTTTAGGATGGTTTTTAAAGTTACTATAAACTTAGCTACCTCACATAAATGAGTCCATTGATAACTTTGGGAATATTCTTGGTGTGAACAAATTTCGCTTTTAGATTTACATGTTAGTCTTAACTAGTTGGTCGTGACAGGTAGATAACTAGAAGAAGAATTTGGCACTGATGTGTGTCAGTTCCAATTGCAACACATAAGAACAGCAGAAGAAAAGGAATCAAATAGAAGAAGGATAAAATTTAATCAGAAAAGAGCAAATGAGAAGAGAAGAACAAATAAAGCAAATAAAGGTTGATTAAAATGTTCAGAATCTCGAGGGTATGTGTATGCACACTTAACTGTAATCCATATGAAGCCATTCTATCAATGGCTTACAGCTATTAATAATAATGAGTCCACTGGGTGCTTTCTACTAAAACGATTTGTAGATAATTATTCATTATATTTAAATTTCAATAATTATAATCAAAGTGTCCAACAAAATCCATATTCTCATTGATGACTGGATATACTTTGCAGCAGTGGTCTTTTCCCCATATATTCTTTCTGTGAAAATTGGTCAGTCAATTCGAAAGATTTACCTTGAATAATGGAACTTAATTACCTCATCAGTTGTAATATCCATCAGATCTGGTGTGATTACTACGAGTAATAGAAAGGTTTAGCACACAATGCTCTGTTAGATCAAAATACATGGAAAGCATATGAATTTTCTCCAATTTTATTGAAATAGATTTGCTTCAGGTATTTTTAGGTATAATCTACTACTTTTTACTTTATTATCCAGAGAAAAACTTGGTTTAGCATAGTCAAACATAGTGTCAACGGAGTTTTTACTGGTAGTTTAGGCTATGTGAAAAGGTGTAACACCTATGGATGAAACTCATGTAATGATCAGGCTCTGAAGAGTTCAAACCCTATGATGAAGAATCAGTTGTATTAACACTGATTCATTGATAAGTGGACTTCAATAAATTTCGATATTTTCATCATAAATTATATGAAACGTTACGATAGAAAGATTTTTCAAAATGTGTAAGTATATTCTACTTTCAGTCTGATAAAAATATCTAGTTAAAGATATTTCTACCTGTTAATAACACCACATTTTCATCAGTGTTAACAGACATGACTTCAGGATTGTAGCGGTAATATCTGTGATCAAAAATATTGGAAAGGCAATCCATGAAGTAGGTGCGATCTCTTCTGCATATTTAAGCTCGTCTTTTTAAAGGAAACCAGTTAACAGGAAACACTATCTCGATAGGTGTTTCCGTTTACCTTCGATAATCTAAAGCAAAATACGGTTAATTATGAGACTCACTCATTCATTCCATCAGCCATGTTGAATTCGCTGACAGAAAGACCTTAATAAGTACTGAGGAATAACTTTCTGTACATCCGGTGACCAGTTATTTACTATGAGATGCAGTGAGGACTTTCAGAGGAGTATTTTATAAAGCTAGTTAGAAAGCTAAGAGAAATCACCAAATAACAAGTACCTTGCATTCATTTCAATTTTCATCCCCTTTCAACCCTTTAGATGACAAATTTAGTAGGATAGCTGGTACAGCAGAATATGAATAAGATAGCCACTTCCCTGCGCTAGTCTTGACAATCCGGGCAATATACCGATAGAAACTTAGTCAAAAATGCATAGACCATTCTATTTCCAACAAGGAAATCTTAAAAACGACAAATCTTGGCAGAAATAAGCTTCTCTAATGAGCAGATCACGAACCATTTACATCTATACATGTAGTGATATCAATTGGTTTCATCTGTAGCTTGTAAATATTTCGAAAGCATTTTTCTCTTAAAATGACCAGGTCTTAAAACTGGAAACAAAAATTGAAATCGTTACACGGTAGCTCAAATCCAGAAAGGATTTCAGTGTACTAATAATGCACTGACTTGGAGGAAAGTTCTGAAAACGATCAAAAGGAAACAAGGAGGCAATCAAATCTAATTTGCAAGACTACTTCACACAGTATATCATTATAGCTGTGGTCAGAAATAAAAGTTTCCAATTAATAGTTGTGCTACCCATGAAACTGTTTATCACCAGAGAGAGAAACTCTAAATTTTGACGAACTGTAAAGGGGGAAATAATGTGTCCTGGAACATTTCAGAGCTCACTGGTATCGTAGTAATGGAAGTAAGTGCCACAATTAAACTTGCATCAACTACCAAGCCTAGTGTTTGACGTAAAGCTAGCTCATCAAGTGGACTGTATGAAGATTTTCAGTAAGGTACAAAAACCCTCCATGGTAGATTTACTGAAAATCACTTTTTTCACCTAAAAAAAGAACTACCTGAATGTTTGCTCAAATTCATATTGGTTTATTATTGAACTTTGATTTCAAATAGTCAGCGTATTTTATAGAGTTACAGTACGTCAACTAATCATATAGAAGTGAAATTATGACTTAGTATAATTCGTCAGACCACAAGTCCCTTTACATACTCTTCATTCAACAAAATCCCGTCCTAAAAACCATGAAAGAAGTTCACAGACCTGTCTTATTATTCTTAAAATCCCTGATTTTCTGGGCTAAGCTCTTTGTCTGAAGTTGATAGTTGGCAGTAATGAGTTTTGTCTCATTCAAAGACTGTCTTTTATGTAGTACCGAATCATAAGAATCTTCATAGTTAAGTAGTAGAGTATTCTTTCCCAGCAAGCCACATGATCTCCGAAGCCGAGCATTTTCTGCTCTCAGAAGCTCTCTCGTTTGCTTCATTTTCGTTAACTTATCTCTGTTTAGCGTAAGTTCAACATCAGCTTCATCAAGCTTTTTTCTTTGGTTGATATTATCGTTTTGGACAGCTTGAAGCTTTTCTCTAATATGAGTCGTTATTTGAACCATGTTCGAAATTTTTCGCCTGAGTTTACTCAACTCTTCATTCCTTTCTTCAATTTTCTCATTATAAGTCTGATTTTCTATTTTCAGCTGTTCAAAGTCGATCAAATGCAAGCCCCCTGCGAGTTCTTCTTTTGATCTCAAAAGAGTCTCCACCTTTGAAACTTCATTCTTCAGCTTAATGTTTTCTAGCCGCACTTCTCTCAACATAGCCTCTTTATTCTTCTCGGCTTCAAATATAGCGGTAAGTTCCTTAGGGTTGATTGGCTTTCCAGTTTGACTATGAACCGCCTCCTTTCCTATGCTATATTTGAAGTTCATAAACTCTTTATATGCTTTATCGACTTCCTGTTGTCTTTTTTCGCTCAAAATCTTAAGCTCTTCAATTTGCTTGCTGTATGAAGTTTTCATTTCATCATACTGGTGATGAAGATCTGCTAGGCTCGATACATACCTAGCGAATCGCTGCTCATAGTCTATACTAACATCACTTGCACTACCACCAGTACTTGAGGTTGAATTCAGAGGATCCGAAGTATCAACTTTTTTGCGCCTAAAATACTCAGCCAATTTAGTTTGAAGCTGTAGATTCAGTTCTCTCGCAGCTTTTTGCTCGCCTATAGATAACTTATACTGTTCCATCAGCTCCTCGTGCCTTTTTTTCTCTTCTTCCTTAGTCAATTCATCCTCGTCACCTTTGAATTCACCGGCATCTTTAGGTGACAAACAGGATTCAGTAACCAATTCCTTTTGTAGAGTAGGTACTTGAGGCTCACTGGTTTCAGATTTTTGCCCTAAAGTGTCCTCTGCAAAAGCTTCGGTTCCTTCAGTTTTTCCATAATAGTCTTCTTTCAAATTCGGATTTGATGAAGTCAAGTTTGTGTCGAGGTTAAACAATTCACTAACAGCATTAATTTCATCTTCATGTGCTGCATCACTTCCCGGGGCTGACTTCCCTGCTTCTTTAAGGACAACAATATTCTCAACGTCATCAGAGAGATGTCCCTCAAAACTTTCCGAACCATGCACTTCCATCAGATCTACTTGATCATTTTGGTTTTCATTCTCATAATCTCTTTTAGGTTTTTCAGTACAAGTTGTGTTAAGCACTTCTTCTCCGACATTTTCAGATTCAAGTACTAGAACTTCGTCTTCCTTTATTATTATAAACTCTAAATAACCTACTTTCAGTCATAAAATGTTCTATACCTTGTTTTTCTCCTCATTTCTTGAGTCCATTTTGAATTTAACAACATGTGTTGTCACAACAACGTAAGATTATAACAAAATATAATTCTCACAACCTTAAACAATATCTGCCTTCTGAGCTGACTCCATCATGCCCATTTTTTGGTATCAATCCAGGATTTCAGACCTCTGGTGGCTTTTGATACAGTGGACCTACCTGTACCTCCAGTATCCAATATCTTTTCAAGAGATAGTGTAGGCCACTTGATTTCTCCGGGCTAGCTTCCAGGTGTTGCGGAACAGCTCCAGGTCTCTGATGGATTCTGATGCAGTAGATCTGCTCACTTACCTGCTGTAGGCCTGGTTAGCACGACGGGCGGTTGTGTCTTGATTAAATTTGTAGGGATTTTCATTATCCTAAGGACTGTGGTCCCGTGCCACTAGACAGTTGGTTGGACTGGTTGCAAAAAGAAGACAGAAAAGATTCCTAGCGAAACCAAGGGGAAGAAGTACGAAGAGGAAGAAGAGAAAAAGGCAAGGTGGAAGAAACGAAGTCAAAGTGAGGGAGAAGCCGAGGTAGATTTGTGGGAGATAAGTGAACAAATAATGCTGGATCACAGAATTGGAGGGGAGAGAAGAGGTTAGTAAGATTATCGAACGGGTTTGGAAAATAGAGATAGTAATACTATTGGTAGGTGAGAGTAACTGCAGAGAACCTCCCCTACTTTACTAGTTCACTAGTTACTACACGGTCCTAAGCATAGATAAAGAGGGTAGGCTGAGCATAGATCTGACAACCCTACCCTGTAAAAACAAACCCAGTCTCTGGAAAAAAGAGCAGAAAAAGTGCAAAAAATGAAGAGAAACTTATTCCTCGCTGGAATTGAGGAGACGGAATGACGCCAGTTGGTGAAAGCCTTCAGGAAGCCAGTTGGTCGATGTATCTTCCCTTCTCTCAGTGACGGCAAAAGTAAGTATGAAGACATAGAATGTCCGCTCAATGTTTGAAGCTGACTGGTAGGGCTACTCAGACTGCCAAGGTGATGAAAAGCTATGGCATAGAAAAGCTAGGATCAAACTGCAACTATACGGATCATCATAGAACATAGCATAGAATGGAAGTCAACAGGATCTTGACCTCAACTTCATCGACTTTGAAAAGGCCTTCAATAATGTGGACCGAGAAGTAATTTGACAGGCAGCTGCTTCAACACTACGATTTTAGTGCCACAAATCTCCATCAACCTCATTCAACACCAGCTACATGTTATGTGATGATGCTACATGTCAAGTGATTCACAATGGAAAGCTCGGTGATGCTTCTGAAGTGGAGACAGGAAGGAGTAAGACAAGGTTGACGTATACTAACACCGATCATCTTCCTGATCTTTCTCCCTCAATGATAATGCTGAATACATTGACGTGAGTAGTATGGGAAACCCACTGACATTGGTCTGCAGCTCTTCAGATGTCTATTCCTTTGCACCACAATATATAATTCTGATGGTGTAAATCTATATTGTTGTGAACGGTAATACTTGAATAGATATTCACTCGGATCATATGATTACGTGAGAACAAGGTTGCCGCCTACTATCACCGATCATCTTCCTGATTGTGGTCGACTGGACTCGACTGGACTGGATCGTGCAAGATACTGGGGGGGGGGGGGGAGGTGTGAGAAGACGAACATACACTTAGTGGACGATGAAAAGACCCTGGAGGATTTGGATTTCCCTGATGATAACTTATGTCTAATGTCGCGCAGACTCGGAGATGTGCAGGCGAAAACCAACACGTTGGCAGAAGTGGCAAGTGAGCGAAGGGAGAAGACACTGTCTTCAGGTGAGCGTAGAGAAGACAGAGGTTGTTAAGATACTCAACAACAACAAGCAGCAATCACCATCAATAGGAGAAATCCAAAGGAAGTTGTCTCTTTCACCTACCTACCTACCTACCTGGACGGCATCGTTTGAAATGCAGTTGGTGGCGGTGGCACAGATGAGGATGTGGAAGCAGCCAGGATCGGAAGGACAGTAAGACAGGCCTTCCTGCACTAATCTGAGATGATCAGTGTGGAGATATACGGCACTGCACTCAGTATGAAGTGTGAACAAGATCCGGATTTTCAACACTAATGTCAGTCAAGTAAGTCAGTGCTTCTGTGTGGTGGTTGAGAGACTTGGTACGTTGCGCATAGCATTTCCAACAACCTACAGATATTCATCAACAACTGCCACCTACACCCACTCGATAGTGAAGATCAGATGGCCAGAATAATAGGAATAAACAACAAGGGACCCTGTCTAGTTAGTAATGAACCAACCAGAAACCCATCGCCCAACCAATATGCAGAGGAAGGAGAAGGTGGATTAGGGAAGACCATTTGGGTACATAACGCACCAGATCAGGCTGTAGAATGGAAGCCAAATGGAACACGACTAGTTGGGTGTCGGAATTGATAGTGACGTGGAGGAGATCATGTGAGGAAGAAATGAAAGCTTATGGGGAGTGGTGGAGGTAATTAAATGACTGTAGAGGAGAGAGTAAAATGGCGACGTGCTGTTGAGGCGTAATGTTACACTAGGAACCCAAGGTATGAATAATAATAATCGATGAGGTGACCGCAGGAAGACCCGCCTGTACAGAAGTATATGGCTTAGCCGAGTTCGCGATGATATTGGCGTTGTCAAAGATTCTGCATAGAATTGGATCTACTGAGCTGTGCGGAGTTAGTGGGTTGTATCAACCTAGTCCGCATCCCAGCTGGACAAGCGCAAAGCGTGCATCTTTGCGCAGCTGTCCAACCTCCTCAATAATAATGTTGATAAATTTTGGGCGATGAATCATGCAAACGCAAGCCATTTTGCATGCAATATTCTAATGTTATTTTTCCCAGTGACCTGAGAAGGTCTAGAACGAAACCATAGGGCCATACAAAATTTTTCGGGGCAACCAAATGTTTGCATATTGCCAGTCACATATATTGAGTAAAAACCGTTTCGTTAAACAGCAGCTGGGAAAATGGATACGGGCACAATCACTCAGCATAAGAAGTACCCTGTCAGTAGTGATACGTATAATCGGTAAGAGTGCATTGCATATGGAACGTTGAGAGCAAATTAATATGGAAATATGTGAGCATCCGATAGACTTGTGCTGTCCGTAGATAGCATGCTAAAGTAGATTTGAATGCTGGAATGAACGGAGAGGGAAATTCGAGTTTAGTATTGTATAATGCAGAGCGTAGAGACTGTTTAGGTTCATGATAATATATACAGAGTCATTTGAATGAATTAAGCCGAAGACGTAATTCTATTCAGCTACTGTTGTCGTACTACGAGGAAGAATAAATGAAGCATCATAGTCAAACCATTCGATAAGAGTTCAAGGTCGGCACTTCACATGAGATCACTTTCAGTTAGCTTTGTTTCCAGATGAGGGGTTGTCAGGAGTCAACGAGGCTGCATGTTTGGATGCAAACAGCATTTATCACAAACATTTCTAAACGTCGTTTCAGTTACAGCCGTGAATTTCGGGGAGGTTGTAATCTGAGGTGAATTGCCTTCTGGTTTTTGCATCTCTCGGAGGTAAAAAACAATAGTTCGCACATGTTGAATAGAAGTCGGAAATATACTCCAAATTTGAGTGTGTGTTGTCGACGGACGAAGCAATAGCAGTAGCAATGCGGTCCAGTAGCCTTGAAGTAGCGGAGAGAAAAAAGTTGTACACACATGAATTTTCGCCCATTCAGTGGGTGGTTCTCTTTCGGTTACCACGAGGATCACCACAGCCGCAATCCTGCAGGATCCCACTTTCTGGATTACTTAGCGTTCGCTAAGCCGTAATCACGCCACCACGTAAAGTGCAGTAGCCAAAGGTGTAAAACCCTTGGCCTTTCGGCCTATCCTCACAAGGGTTTTGCCTCATTATCACAGTATCATTTATCGCCCCCCCTCTGGACCTTCTGCAGGAAGTTCATATCCCATTTCAGGTATGGTGGTGCAATGACGTTGTGGATCTCTAGGTGGGGTTGTATGTAGGTCCTGTACAGCCCCATGACGAGTTCTAGAGTGAGGACACCTGGCTGACTGGTCCTTTTCATTAGTCGCGTGGGAAAGTCGCTTTCCGCGGAGAAAGTGGGATACCTTATGAGGGACGGGGGTGCGAAGGAATATGGTTCAGCATGTATCCAGGTTAAATACAAGCCTTTTCTTATTCCCGTCCTCTACATACAACCTGAGACCACCCCACAGTCCACTTGACTCCGCTTCCGATGTCACATCTCTTCATAACCTAACATCGCCAGCATAAGGTAAAATTGAGGGGCTGAGACTCGACCGGGGCTCATCCACGAAGAAAGGAATGACAACTCAGTTGAACCTGAGGGTAGCCAGATGCTGGTTCAGCTTTAGAGAGGTTGATACTTAGCTTCGGGATACCATGATACCGCGATCTTCAAATGTTGTGCTGCCAGACAGTTTTTCAGTCGAATAGAAAGAAAGAAGTGTTTTGTGGACTTAAGAATGACAGATGTTCGTCGGATTGTCTTGATCCATTGTAACTGAAAGATCAAGCTGCTTTCGCCAACCCCATGACCAAGATGTTAGTGGCGCAAGTAAACATTTCCAGAGATTTTGAATGCGAGAGTTAAGTAAAAATTCCCAGGATAACTGTTTCTGGTGTATCACATGTGAAGTCAAAAGAAGTGTTGCTAATTGAGGAATGTTAAGTTTAATGATTAATCAACCTTTCAAAAGTAGATGGTGCACCAACGAAAACAGTGAGGGACACAAAGCAGACGTTGAAGCAAGCTGAACAATAGACCTCTGCAGAAAATTGATTTGCGAAGAGTCATGCCAATAGCAGTATCACTAAGAGAGTGTGGTATAAAAGGGAACGTACCAAGGAAAAGAGAGAAATAAGAAGCCCCATTTAGTTGTTACTTCATTTCTGCACTGTATCGTTGCCACCTACACATCAGTGCCTAACAGTCCAGTCGCTCTTTAGGCTTCCTGGTACATGTAGTACTGGCCACATGGATTGGAAGTGCGGCCATTATGTACCTTC